TTTATCACTTCAGATAATCTGCCTTTTAATTACATTAATAATTTTTAATAATTTAAAAAAATACACATTTAATGTGAAGAATACCATTAATGTTGAATGAATTTATTTGATTAATTCTTTTAAGTTGGAATTTGTGAATAGGATATGCTGCTAACATTTAAAGAATAACATTCTACCCCCAAAAAAGTATGTTTTGTTTACTAAAACAAAGCCATAATATTGGCAATATTGTCAGAATATTTTTTGTATTGTTTATGATATAGATTGACTAAGATATTAATACTGTAAAGTGTAAGTACATGAGTAAAAAATGCATGTTCTGTCTAAATGGAATCTGCTTCAAGTTTTATAGTAAATCATGAACAGATAAATAAATTATATAAAACAAAACAACTTCAATAAAACACCTATGTGTCTTAAATAATGATGCTTTCTTAAGACTGAATCTTAGGTGAGGTGACTAAAATCATGTATCAGTGTTTCTAATTTCAGGTTATTAGTTTAAAGCAAAAAACTAATAACCTATGTGTTTTCTTAGTTTGACTAATAGGGGCAGCTGCAATAGAAATTGGAATTTATTCCCTAATATATTGTGAAGATAGGTAACCTTGATTTCAAAAGTATTGGTTTTCTTTAAATAAATAAATATTTTTACTGTAACCTACAGAGATTGAAAAGCATTTAGAATTGTAGTTTTTAAAATTGAAAAAGCTTCAAAATGACAGTGGAATATAACAGGAAGAAACAACAACAACAAAAAAGAAACCTTATTAATTTAATTGTTTTTTTTTGTTTGTTTGTTTTTTTGCAGTTTTTTTTTCCAAATCTTATTATTGACATTACTAGTAATAATCTTAATATTTGAAATATATATGATATTGTTACAACTATCATGTAACTTCTGAGTTCTACCTATAAAAGCAAAAACATGATACTTCCTGCAAGTTTAGTATACTGAAAGGGTATCAGTCATTTCATTTAAGGAACTGGTTTGTTACATCTTTCATATTTTTAAGGACTTTGTGTTTTTAAGTATATCAATCCTCACAGTTCTTCCATGAGCTCAGTTGTATTGCCATAGAAGTAGAAGAAAGTAATGTGCAACAAAGTTCTTTAAGAGATTAGTGGTATAACATTAACATTTAAAATTTGAGAGAGACATTTTGACAAGTAACATGCTGTGAATCAGATTTTTGTTGCTGAAGGATTGTCAGCAAGGTTTCATCTTTCCTGTGTATATTTTGAAAAGCCAAGAGAATCAGATGTTCTTGTTTTGCAAGCCTACAGAGGCATGCTTTTAACCTATGTAATGAGGGGAATGAACTTTTCACTGTTGTCTGAGTATGGCCACATCGTTCCTCATGATTAACTTCATTTGGCTGAAGAGCAGAATTCAGTAGTATACAAAAGTAACAGTAAATGGAATTATAGTGAAGAAAGACAAATCCATTTACATATACTGTTGCAAATATAAGGTTCTCTATGTTGTCAGTGAGTAGCAAAAAGATTCTTAGAAAATACACCTTAGGGGTTCAGGTCTGACATCATGCATTGTATGTGTTCTCTTCTATTGGGACCAAGGGAAAAAGTATCTTCTTTTTGTTTGCTGACTTTTGTACAGCACGTGAAATACAAATACTATTTAATGGGAATGTTTTTATTATGTATTTATTAAAGAGTGATGTGTCGTCTCTAGGTATGAAAAAAAAGTCATCGGGGACAGTATTTTGGAGTAATTAAGTTTTTGTAGAATATACATATTACTTCTATACTACAGTGAAAAGCAATGATTCTTGTACAAATTGGTCAAATAAAGTCAGCCCAGCTTTGTAATAAAGTACTGTCCTGTGGTGTATATGCAAAAAAGTTTAAGTCCTTCGGGCAAGGCTCTGTGATATAAAATTGAAAAGCTGAAAATTTTTAATTCACCATAGTAAGACAAACCTTTGAACCAAATATTTGGAAGAGACTTTACCTAAAGTTGTGGGTTATTCGTGTTTGTTTATTTTGATTTGTTTACTTCTAATGTTTGCTCTTAATAAAATATTTTTGCTATGGCTGAATTGAGAAAAATAGGTTAGAGCTTTAGACTGATGTCCTGGAGAGAACCTCAAAATACCATCCACTTCAGCTTCTTGTACTGTGGCAAAACCATCAGTACCTTGACAGTTCATCTAGGTTCTTCAAAATCTGCAGTTAAGTTGCAGTCCTTCCTAGCCTATTCTGGTATGTCACTGACCTTAAAAGGCTTTTTGGTATTATGGAATCTTAGTCATTATATTGAACTTAGTATATTAAACTACATGCAGTGTTTATAGAGGAAGAAAGTGAAGAGTTATAGAAATAAACTTATGTAGACAGATTATTTCAAACAAATGGAAACCTTGGGTCTAAATATTACATTTCCCACAGTGAAACATTATCAAAGTGACTTATACATACTTTTACAGAAGGATTGAGTGTAGATCTATACAGAGATGAAAAGCACTCTGGTAGCACTGTAATGTCATGAGATGAAAGCTTTGTTGTAGCTAAGTTTCTATTCACGTTGTACTAATTAGCAGCTTTAGTGTTAATGTTTCACAATTTGGCATGTGATCATGAAGCTTACATTCTTAGCAGGTAAAAATGCAACTTCTTTTCTTGCTCTTTTTTTGATGAGTTAGCATTCTTCTTGAATTTTGACCATGTAACCAGGAGAAACAAACAAAAAGTTAGATTGAACTTGGAGAAGTGCCTGTTGTATTTTAAATTCTGGGGCAGCTTATGGACTTGTCATGAAGTCAGGTTATTTACAAACACCTGTGAGTATCCTGGAATGCCTTGCTTAAAATGCTGAAGAGATTGTATAATCTGAACAACAAACTGTACTGGAGAAAGTACTTTTCAGAAGACATCTAATGATACTCAATATCCCTGATTTCAACTTTGTCATGCAATTAAAAATTCACAGTTGTTGATCTAAGTCATAGCATCATGCAATCATAGAATATCCCAAGTTGGAAGAGACCTATAAGGATCATCAAGTCCAACTCCTGATGGTCTCTGCTGAATCTACCTTCCCCAGTTTCTCTTTCTTCTTCTTGCATTTCCACATAGGATCTTTGTTTTCTTTCAAAAGAAAACTGACAAAATATAACTGCACCTTCCTCTCTTGTGGACTTTTTTGTGGGCTTCTGTTTTTTGAATGACCACAATCAAATTAGAGACCAACACTTTGAACAGTATCAGGCTGTCTGTGTTTAAATTCCTGGCTCAACAAAACAATATGACTAAGCACCATAGGGATAACATGTTAAATTTTTGAAAGGCTAGAAAACTTAAGTAAGATCTGCAGTCATGACAGGCTGAGGTTTTCAAGTGTATGTGCAGTGTGTAGTCTGAATCAAGTTATCTTTCTTTTAAACTTTCCACTTTGTAATCTCCTGTTTTGAGAGTGCCAAGAACAAGGGAATAAATGCATACTTGTAGTTCATTTTCAGCAATTTGCAGTTTGTATCCCACTTGAAATTTGTTCTTGGAATTGAATAAAGAACTACTGGAGAAAGAACCAAAGATTTAAAATCAGAGTTTGCAGTTTGGTGGATGAAGTCGGAGAATTTTCTTGAGGTCCTTCTTTAGTTTTAAGAACACATTTGCTAGCACCAGTGAATGTTTCCTAATGAGGAAATTGATTGCTACTGGAAGGTTCTGTCAAACTTCTTGGAAACGTTTTGTTGAGAAGTAGTTCAAATGTCAGTATGAAGGATCTTGTAGGCTGATCGCTTCTTTTCGTAGGTACCATTTCTTCTATAATTTGAGATTCTGTAATGCATTTGGGCTTTATATGTCAAATTAAGTTACTTGCTTTTAAAGCTAACTTTTATCTTGATGAGGATTTGTGCAATTTAGGTTTTAGTACTGATCTCATGCTCATGTCAGCTGTTGCTGGAAATGATAGAGACATTTGGAATCAGGAATAATCAGCTTCACAAAATCATCATGACTCCTTGAAAGAGTGCTGTCAGATTCCCAAATGAGTCAAGCCATATTTGAAAAATCCGTGGATCCAATTTATGTGTTTTTTAGAGAGTCATAAAGGGACGTGCTAATGACTCAAAGTTCTTGGCTGCCAAGCAAATTGCATGCCATTGGCTAGGTACTGTCCAGTTTCTTGTTTTAATTGGTACAATTCTAGATGCCCGTGCATGAAAGCAGGAAATTAAAGTAGAATAACTGATATGATTAGCATGGCAGTGTAGCAAAAGTGTATTTTTTTGCTTTTTTTTAATGCCAGGAATGAGGGGATTAAAAGGATAAAAGTGAATATTAGAAACTCCAATCAAAGACGTGAGAATGTGTGAGAGAGATGAATTTTTTGGAGGCTTGTATGCTGGAAATTAATGCATCCCTTGCTGACTTTTAGGATGGCATTCTTCCTGTCCCACCCAAGATGAAGGTTCTATTAGAATTCTGTAACCATGAATCAGTTAAATTTCTTGTAAGCTAATTTATTCTAGAGAGAGTGGATTTTTCTATTTACATGTGTTCTGTTATTTTTCTAGTCCCAACTTCTCAGTCTAGAGAATAACATTTACAAAAAATGAATAAGAATCTCCTGCATTTTATTATCTTCAAAGTTCCACTAGTGCTTTCCATTCTTGGAAAGTAAAGGATCCAAGGTTTAATGTTCTCCAGGATGCTAACAAATTATGTTACAAGTCTTATCTTACCTATTGAAGTAAATAGGGACCATGAAGGCTGCTTTTCATCTTCTTTAATTATTTCTTCTGAATGATGAAGCAACAGAAACACAAAATTAAGACATTTTAATTCTGGGCTACTTTAGTCTTAGTTACTTGTGAACCAAGTATATATTAAGGAATTACATTTCTTATTGGGTGGCTGAATGGAATTTGTTATTAAGTTGCTTTTCTAGTTTTCAGTGTGTTATTCTAAAAATTAACTTCCCAATAACATACTTGAATAGAATGCACAGAACTTTTTCTTTTGTTTTATAGGGTTGTGACTCTCAAATGAGCATGTCAGAAGTGTCCTGCAGTGAAAGCACCTCCTCTTGTCAGTCTCTGGTGCATGGCTCAGCTCCAGAAATCCTCATTGGCCTCCTTTATAATGCTACAACTGGAAGATTATCAGCAGAAGTGATAAAAGGCAGCCACTTCAAAAACTTGGCAGCAAACAGACCACCCAGTGAGTGAAAATCTTTTTTCATTCTAATGCCTCTGTACTGGTGGGGATCTTGGTAGTAAGGACTTCAATCCTATCATTTAGTCTTACCCAATCAAAATGAAATAGAGCAATCATCAACTAATCTGTTTCATGTTTTATATTTCTAGTCAGTTGGGAAATAGCAAAAATCTGAAATTCAAAATATTAATTGAAAGTTGACACGGCTGCTTTAATTTTTCATGATGACTGAGTAATAAATTACCTTTATCATAGTGATTAATTGCTAAATTACTAATGCCTCACATCATGGGCCAAGAATAAAAAGTTAGTGTTTAAAGAGAAAGTACATGCCAGCAAATATTAATCTAAACACTGTGAACAGTTACCCCTGTTCCTAGAGGGTTTGACACTGTGGCCTTTAATTGCTTACGTGCCTGTGTATACGTGGTAGTAATATATTTAATTTAGGAATGTCAATGAAGACAGCATAGAAACAAATGGAGACCTTTGGCATATATACTGTACAGAAGGAAGATTTATAATCAGCGAAGACTTGAACTGCGTGTTCAAGCATTTGTTCAAAAATATATTTGTCTGAAATAAACTTTTAAATTTCAGCCAGATGGAATGTCACACACAGAATATTTTTACTGTCTCTAATTCTTTGATACAGCTTGAGAAATTTTAGTAATGAACTTTTGTTTTCCGTGTTCTTTAGATGATGAGTCTGATTTATATCAGTTGTAGCCAGACATACCTACCTGTTCCTCTTGGTTTAGTCTTGGAGGCTCAGGTTTTAGTCTCTCTTTCTGTTTCTAATCCCCAGATTTGTATGACACTACTGGATTATCCAGTAGGCTTCTGATGTTTTGTAAGTGGTTTTCACATCTCACATTGCCTTCACATTTTAGGAAGTAAGCCAAACAACTTGAGACTGATATTCTCTTTCTTTCCTGACCCATGTTTTATTCCATTCATTAATTACGTTTGGCTCAGCTACACTCTGCTCTGCTTTCTGTATACTTTTCACACTGATGGAGCCAGAATTCATTAATATGGCCAGAGAAGGAAAGCCAAAGAAGAATTTCAAATACTTTTATATAATTAGGTAGCTGCCCTGGAGTCACCTATTTAGAGACAAAGCATAGAAATAGATGAGGAAAGCCAAGAAGAGCCACAGACACTGGAATCTCTAGGGAAAGACAAGTTTTTCTGAACATTTAGAATATGAGAATTAGTTGGGAACAGGGAGTCCATGCTTGTTTTGAAGACAGGTATGTTTATTTCCCTGTAAGTTGATTCCCAAATTTTGCTCTTGTGCTAACAGTCGCGTACACCACCAGGGTCAAAAGTTTTACTTTGAATGCAAGAAAGCAGCATAGAACACGACACACAACTCTTTAATAGCATGTTCTGTCTTCTTTTTGGAGAGTAAGTTTTCTGATGACAAAAGTTTCCAAATAACTACTCTTGTGTGTTACCTTCTGTCATCCTTTCTGAAGGATAGGAGAAAGTTTTGATATTCACAATAATAATAGTGCACTTCTGCTTACACACATGTGGGTTTAGAGTTTTCTTTCTAGAAAGATGGAAACTAATGCACCTTCTAGGTCTGGTAAGACAGTGCACACAATATTGTGGAATCCAAATTTCTTCTGTTGGTTGTTTTGTGCACCCCCACCAAACGAGAAGAATTTCTTGTGAATTCCTGGACCCAGATGCATGCAATTGCCATTTCCTAACTCCCTGCCCAAGTGCATTGTGACCATATAACAGCCGTTCTCTGTGATATCATTTCCATAAAATGAAAACTAAGGCCCAGGAGGTTGATAGCGAAATGCTCTGACCACATTTGTTGTTTGAACAATCAGTGCTCCAAAATCTTTAGTAGTGCTGCAAAGTGCATACACGGGTCAGTTTTCATTCAGGTCTTGAGAAAATCCAATAGAAAGGATAGCAATTTTTATTTCTTGCAAGTGATCCTTCCTGTATCCTGGATCACAAACCTATGCAATTTTTGTGAAATGCTTCTGCAGCAAATAGGATTAAGTTCTTCATTTCTGCTTCTTGGTAGTCTATGCTTCTCTGCTGCATATTTTAAATTTTATTTAGTAACTCATTTAGGGACTTATACAAGCAAATAAGCTAAATCCTGCAAGCAGTCAAAGCTGGTGATAGAGTCTGTCTTTTCTTTTTGTGACAATTAATATTTTGTCTGAGAAAAGAAGGATGCTTCTTAGTATCTGTTAACATTTTGTTGAAAAGTTTTTGCACGTTATATGCATGCATGCGTATTTGCACACACACAAGATCCATAAATATATGAATTTTAACAACTGAGATCTTTACATTTAAATAGAGAGACTCATACATGAATTTTGGATGTAAGCATCCCTCAGCTTTGGGTAGACTTTTAGAGTCATTCTTGTGCCCAACTCCTTCTACTCAAGAAGTAAAGTGTTAAAATCATGTAGCTGTAACTAATACCTAAGGGCACAAGAAGCTTAGTTTGCAGGTCAGTGATTTTTCATTTTATTGCTTTTAATGTATAAGTATAACCACCATGTGCAGTTTTTCTTAATATGCTGGAGTTTGCATGAAAAAGCGCAAGGGTTGATAAAATGGATACGGTGATTTTAACCCAGTCTTCTGTAACCTGATCGTCTGCATGATTCTTTCTGTGTTCAGTGTGCTTTAGAACCCAGTAGCTGTAAGCGCTAAGATAACCCATTATATAAGCAGTGTAATTTGTTAAAGATTACACAAAAACTGCACAAAATTGTCATTTCATGAAATTTTACCCAACAATCCTTTTGTTCAATCCTTTTCCTGATCTATGCTGCTAAGGTTTTGTGCTCTTCCACTCCAGTGAATAGTGTTTCCTCTTAAACTCTAACCTTTGAACCTCTCTCACCCAGCTATTGACATCTGGTCATTATTTCTTTTACTGCTTTCCACCCCCTGTTGTCAGATGGACTGTTCTGTTGTCTAAAACACTTGATAGGTGGACAGGTTTATATAATCCGAGGTGAGTTCCTGTAGACACTAATTGGATGTTGTCTTTTTCATGCAAAAGAAAACTTGCCAGCAGTAAAGCTATACACGGCTGCCTACCTTATTGGTTTATAACAGTATATGTTTATTATTTGTGACACTCTTTAATGCACAAATTGCATTTATCTCTGATTATGGATGATGGGATTTCAGTGTACCTGCATAGTGAAATTATGCAATGTTTCTTTTTACAGAAACTTGAATTTTTAATAATATTATTCGCTATTATTCGTGGCAGGAATAAAGAATGCAAAAAAAAAAAAAAGATTATTTAATAGTGGCATGTTTCTTAAAATAAGTTATAACTATGACTTCATAAATGCACAACTTTCTGCAGGAGCATGGTTTGATGCTTCTAGTCAAATGAAAATAGAGCTTTAAAAATAAGTATTTATACCCAAATACTAACGTTCTTTGTATGCTAGCCACACTCACTTGCATCAGCTTCCTAAATGTACTTGCTAAGAGCACTTTAAACAACCATACTGAATTGTTTAAAAAATGATTTTTCTAAAGGCAAAATGTATTCCTTCATGAATCTAGAAATTAGTAATTTTATTTTCTATTTTGTAAACTTTCACTTTTGAATGCACTTTGCTATGTTTTGGTCTTTAAAACAAATAAAATAAAGCCCAAAATGAGAACCACATCCATGCAGAGATTATTCTTAAGCATTTCATCCTGGCTGTTTTGATATCATCACTGCATATCAACTTTTTTCTTTTTCTCTTCATTGTCTTTATTCTACCTCATTCTTATTCTCTGAAAATTCAGTGGTATGCTTTACAGTGTTGTGGCTAGTTGGAGCTTGCTAAGTGTTAATTTAAGTTTGTTTTGAACAAATAAGGGGCTTAATGGGAAGAAGGATCATGAGGTATACCTTTAATTTAACCCATTTACATAGTACTGAAGTTAATTACTTTGTTATTGTGTTTGTACTATTTTGCTTAATTGTCATCTTCTTCATGTGTCTAATCTAAGCTGTGTTCAATCAGCCTGGTATACACCATATCCTTGAGAATCTTGTAAATATCTCATTATCAAAAACATTTGTTCTAAGACTTCTGATATTCCAAACTATGATTTATTTTTTAGATACATATGTTAAGTTAACACTGCTGAACTCCATGGGGCAAGAGATGTCCAAATGCAAAACTTCAATCCGTCGAGGACAGCCAAATCCAGTATACAAAGAAACCTTCGTTTTCCAAGTTGCACTGTTTCAGCTTTCGGATGTGACGCTCATATTGTCTGTATATAATAAACGCAGCATGAAACGAAAAGAGATGATAGGGTGGATTTCCTTAGGTCTTAACAGCTCAGGAGAAGATGAACTTAATCACTGGACTGAGATGAAAGAATCTAAAGGACAGCAAGTATGTAGATGGCATACTTTACTAGAATCTTAAAGGACGGTACAAAGTGCGGTTGTGGTTCTAAGGAAGTTTTGTCTTTCAAGATGATCATTATTTCCGGTCACAGTCAACAGATCTGTTGTGGAAATGGAAAATGAGATCAACATTCCATTTTAAAGAGTGCACAAATGGCGGGATTTAATATATAATCATCATTTAGTATCAGGCACATCCTTGGTGTTAGAGGAGCCTTGCTATATGCAAACATGTTAGCAGTCCCTCCCCTAGCCACCTGATGCTGTATTCATTTGGGTTTGTTTTGTGTTTTACAATTCAGTAATATTTTATGTGAGGTTCTCCAAATTAGCGTATGCTCCTTCTTGTGTACTTTTTGTAGTGCTCTTATACTGTAGCTTCTGACCTGCCTGCATTCAGATTAAGGGTCAATAATTTGCACTAAAAAAGAAAAATTTGATGATCTGTAAAGAAAAAAATCAACAATGAAAAACACCACCATAAAAACCAAGCCCACCAGTGGAGAAGAACATTTAGTAATACAGCATATATGAATATACTGTTGTTTAACACCGAGTTTCTTTCCAGGAGCTTAGTCCAATTAAGTTTTCATTTTTGATATCCAGTTGGTTTGAAAAATACTAGCATTTGGGCATCAGGTGAACTTTGACATAAAATAAATGTTTCTTCAGTCTGTGACAGGAACGAGCTCTCTATATGGCATAAATTGGGGTTTTCCCTCTTGCCTGTACTTCTGCCTAATCCAAAGAGACCAGATCATTAATTTGGTCCCTTCCAAATCTCCTTAGACAGGTTGTACTGTAAAACTATGTAACTTTCTGTTGAAAGCACCTCCTGTATTCGTGTATTCCAATGTAGGAAGCTCATAGAGCACGATTTTACTAAAATATTTTTTCGTTAAAAAAAATAAATATATATATATATATGTATTTCTTTAAAATGTCAACAGTTGGAAGTTAGGTTGAAAGACTGAAGGAAGTGGAAGCAGTTGAACTGCTCAGAATGAATGAGAAATATTGTGACTTTTGTTGGAATAGACGTTTGCTTGAGTCTTTTCTGAGCTGTGTTAGGGATTACTGTATGCCCTTTGTTGGAAGTACAGGTCAGACCAGAATTTTTTACCTTTCTTCTTGGAGAAGACAACATTAGTGAGTTCTTTTTTTTTTTTTTTTTTTCCAAGTGATTTGCCAGCAAATGAATTAATATTCACACCCAACATAGAAATTTTCCTTGCTTATATTCAGGTTGGGAACAGCAGCTTTCAAAGAACAAAAGGAGCCACAGTATCACAAAAAAAGTTTACCAATGAACACTTCTGGCTTCCACTGAAATTGGGGAAATATCTGTGCTTCTGAGATTCCTATTTGTCCCAAATATTTTAACTGGAATCACACTAACTGTCTGACTGCTGAATCCAAGTCAGATTACTGAAACTGTGGATTATTGAGTAAATGTTTTTTTTTTTTAAACACTTTCCAGTTCAAATACTGTCTTTGCCTGTAATGACGTCTCATTTAAAATTGTAATTGTTGCTGTATGAAAAGCAAGCAAATTTGTTTTTCTTATAAATGATGGTGATGTCTTACTGTTTTTTAGCACTTGGTGGGTAGAAGACAGAAGTTTTGGATAGTATTGAGAGAATTAGTGGTAGCCTAGACCATTCTCATTAGGACAATTTTTTTTTTTCTCTCATATTTCTTTGTAATACCTTTGAACCATCCTGGCTTTAGGGTATATAGTCAAGTACAGTGAGATTGGAGACAGTAACTATACTATACTAAAGACGTTTCATGTGGTTCTCAAATTCTCATACTACTTAACAAGTTCACTAGGGCCTTTTTAAAGACTACTGTAATTCCACTTCTTAGTTTATTTGGTGCCTTCCAAAGGGTTTATTTGCAGAGCCAGGTTTTCAGATTTAAAGGTTAACAGGCCTGATTTTTAATCTGTTATTACATTGCTGCTTCATTTACAGAAGCTTTATTTATTAAATACGAATAATCCAAAAACTCTTTAACCAGGAATGATCTTGCAGTGCTACAAGTTGTCTCTTTTAGTCCTTTTTGTTGCTCGGTTTGTAAAACGTAATGTTGAGTGTAGAATTTAATAATAATAATAATAATAATCAACATTAATTTTATATGCATAAGGAAAATGCTCAGATTTTCCCAATCCTTATAGCTTTCCTATGATAGAAACTGTCTTAGAAGCTGATCAAAAGCAACTTTTCAATGGATGTGGAAGTGTTTTTACTCATTCTGTTTGTGGATGTTTGAACGCTCTTTCCTAAAGCTGAAACTTGTCTCTTACTGGTTGTCTCTTTGTACAGATTTTGATTTAAAATAATTTACAGTTTTTAACAGTAGGAACTGAGGAAGTTAATTCCAGTGGAGGATATAGTTAACATTGCCATTGAAGAAGTGAGTTTGGAAGGTGCAGCAAGTAACCTCTTACAGAATCCAAACTAAACTAATAGTGTCCTGACTTGGGTTTATGTTTGTGGGTTGCATTACTTCAATTTTACATCTAATCATTCAGATTTCTAAGACACTAAAACCTTAATTTAGACATAGCAGATACTGAAAATAATCTGCATTGGGCACAATTGGGAATAAAAAGAATCTCTTTCTAGATTATGTGACTTTTCCCACAGTAGTCAGGTCCAGTTTGTGCTATGCAGAAGAGGGTTTGCCTTATTTGGATTTATTCTGTACAAAGGCTGGAAACTGAATGTGTAAAGAATGGAAATGAATGTTTAATTTTCAGGCAGTAGAATATGGATTTTCCATGCAAAACCAGTCACACCAATAATTGGATTCACCCTGGGATTTTTATGAATTAGTTACAGTATCAGTAGCTGTCATGTTGTTCTTTCTTTGTAGATCCCATTCTTATGCATTGTTTGTCATTATATTCTTCTTACTGCTTTATGCGAACCGATACTTTCCTATCTGAAATCTGCCTTAGATGCAGAAGCCCCCATAGGGGCTTAAGCATATAGTGCATTTTGGTGCATTAACTGAAATCTCAAGCATGGAACAGAATTTCTACAGAACAAAGTGTTTGAAGGAAATTAGAAAGAGACAGTTATGTTTTCCTCAGACTTGTCGGTGCTTTCTTCATAGTTTTTGTTGCTTATTTTTGTTCAAAAGTACAATTAGTACTTGGAAGAGTTTATCAAATTATCTAATCACTTTTCTGTGTGCCAATATACCATGTAGAGATTACAATTCTTGAATTAGTTTTCTGACAGTGTAGCCTTAAATAATTGTAGAACAGTGAAGTTCTCACAGATTCTATTCTGGAAAATATTTCATCCTTTCTGCATGTAATCTATTTGCTTTAATGTTTAGAATATTTCACATAGGTGTTCTCAAAGGTAAAGTCATCTTAAAGTATCATAGCTATGAGGAAAGGTGGTTCGTTCCTTTCAGTATGTGGTATGGGCAAGGTTGCCATCTGTACAGACAAGTATGAAATCACTGTGCAGGAGGATGAGAGGGCCCACGGTCTGTGTAGGACATCGCTGTCTCCCCCATTTGTGGAGACACAGAGTAAGCAGAGTCATGCTTCTGCTCCCTGCTTAGGAGGGTGGCACTGGTAGGATTCAAAGCTTGGTCCCTGTGGTGCTGCTCCATGCTCAGGACTTAAGGGACAGCCACACAGTGACCAAGCAGTGAGTCTGAGCGTAAAGGCAGAAGTTAGGCAAGGTGTGATGGATTGAATACAGATCGCTCCTACACATATAAATTCTAACAAAAAGTCTGTGGTAAAATCAGAGAATGATCTTTGAGGGGAAGCCTCTTGGCCTGAGCGTTTCAATGTGAAACTATGAACACATTACCCTTTCATTTAACCAAGAGTCCAGTTAAACTCTTATTCATCACACTTTTCTGGAGGAAAAATGGCTGTCTTGTCTAAAGCAGATTTTAATATTATGGCTTGTCCAGCAGCAAGGCATACTGACTTCCTCCTTTAGCTGAATTCTCAGTAAAAGTTCATCATTCATTTAACTCTCCCACTGATGTGCATACACACCTCCCATTAACGTTAATAAGAAGAACCCACAGGCATCAACAGGAGTGGGGACCTGACCCTGAAGTGTTATGTGTAATGGGATCAGTAGAGTAGATACAGTGGGGCACCTGCAACACGATCAAATGTGATTCCAACTGTGAATGGAGGTTTTTAAAAAAAATAAATAAATCAGGATACTTAGTTATTTAATCATTATCTCTTATTTTTGTTTCTTCTATTCCTCAGCTTGTGGAAATGCTTCAACATTAAAAATGTTAAAGCAATCGTCAAACATCTTGATTGCTTTAACTGGAATATTCAGCAAAGTTATTGTTAGAACAAGCTGTCAAGAATGCTCTGTATTTTTGGTCTATTTAACTCAGCTGCTGGATTTTGTAGTACTTCACAGCTGGATTTCAGACAACTTTGTTCTGGTGGTAGTTTTTGAAGGGGAAGTCATAGGAGCATTTGCTTGTCTGTGAAACAATTCCTGATGAAGCGATGCCATCTGGGAGTAAGGGCGCTAAAACGAGAGAGGGCCTCACGCTGAGGTAGCTGCAGTGACTCCACTTCCACTCGAGGAGCCTCGCAGTCCTTGGAGGGCCCTACTCAGAGAAGAGGTGCTGTGTGCTTTGTGGGAGCTCATACATCCAACGTTGCCCATGTTGCTCTGTGTGGGAGCCCCTCGGCTGCTAACCTAGCATATTTTATAGACGTAAGAAGGGTAAATAAGTGTTTATTTGCAGGGTGAGTACAAACTGGCCTACAGTGATGTGGATTAGTTTAGCCTTACGAACTTACCACTGCCCCTCCTTAATTGCAAGCAGGGTTTCTTCCTTTCTGCAGACTATGCGGAAATCTTATGCACCCAATGTATCTGTTTATATTATGCCTACCTGCATACAGCACGATTAGATTAATGGTAGCAAGCTTAGTTGGTATTTGACATGGTGTGACTGAATTAAATTGGTCTGATACGTGCTGGGCCAGGTTTTGCTGCACAGGGTTTTGCTGATGTAATAGAGAATAAGATCTGTATGGGGAGGAATGTGCCAGGAGTTAGGAAGATGGGTAGTATTGCTCCTTTAGGAATGAAGACCAGGAAACAACTATGTCCAGAAAATGGGCAAGGCTAGCCTAATAGCAAGAAGCATTCATTCACTTCCTTGGAAGCATTTACTGGTTGAGCTGGTACAAAGCCTCCAAAAGTTTCCTGTCTCTGAGGAGCCTACTCAAGAGAGCAGAAGCAGTACTACCATACCACTGAAGGAATACCTCATGGACATTCAGGGATGTAATTAATGTCATCCTTTTTGTCTTATATCTGAGGACAGGAGTCTTGCCCGTTTTATCGAGTTAATTCTTTTGCTGTGTTTTGTAAATCCTATGGACATTCACTGCATGCCTAGGGTTTAAAGTGGATTGCTTTATAACTTTTGGTTCATTTCCAAAGCATGACTTTGAGTGAATTTTCAGAATTAACTAGAAGCATTATCATAGCTTTAAGATGTAAGGTAATTTCTAGGCCATAGTGCAAGCAAGGAGCAGGGCTTTGAACAAATTTTGACGGTGAATTTTGCAAATGGCTTATTATGACATTTTAAGAAAATTTCTAAGCGGTTGAATGTATTACGGAATATTTACAAAAAAAAAAAAAAAAGGAGGAAATAGAGCAATGATCTTTTTTACTATACAGCTAGTTTGCTGTCCTTTCCAGTAAACCACAAGGTTCATTAGTGCTCCGTACTGTTTTGTTTATGACAACAGTTTTTAATGTGATTTTCATGACAAAGTGTAATTAGTGAAATCTTTTATTCAATTTTCCCTTTGGTTGCTTTTTTTAAGGAGAGATTTCTCCTTATATAGTATATATACTTTCTTACAGAGCTTTCTTACCTATTTTTCTATAAGATGATTTAACAATGTAAAAATAAATGCTCTATGAGCAAGCTGTATCACTGTTACACAATCTAAAGTGCTAATATAATGACTAAGGGCCTGAACCTACTGCCTTTTACTCGGGTCTTGGTTTAAGTGCTCTTCCTTCGTGTCGGGCAGAACCTTTCCCCATAAGCAGTTCCATCCATTTCCCTGAAGTGACTCAGGGAAAGGTACAATTAACGTGAGGAAGAGTGGTAAAACTGAGCCTCCTCTCCATTCTTAGCAGGACGACTGTCATGAGTAAAGGCTGCTGGCTCTGTCCCAAAAGTGTAGTTATAGATTATAGTTCCCTTGATCTTCAGTAATTTTGAACTTGTTTTCTGGTGACTATAAGCTAATAACTGATCGTAGTGAATACAAATACTGAATTGTGCTGTTATCAGCAAGATTATTAAAATGTGTTTCACATTTTAATTCATTCTCTCATTGGGATATAAGGAATTGGGTTTGTGAAGCATTATATTGCATAGAGATAGCACACATTCGCCGCATTTTTAATAAGTGTATGAAATATACGGTATGTAGCATTTTCTTGCATACTTTTATACTGCCTGTTTGCCACCGATGCACTCGGTGCCTTGTTTCTTTTGTACAAGACCAATATGTAGAGAAACTAATGTTATCACATGTAAGCAATGTCACTGCAAATCAGAAGATGTCTTAACCCAGTGATTCCTCGTACAGGAGGTTTCAAATGGCAGTTTGGTTTGACACAATGCATTTCTTTGAGTTTTTAGCTTTCCCCTTCCCTTGCTCATCCTGCCTCTCCAAGAAACCTCCTCACATGACTGTTTATTCCTATCTGATTCCTGTGTCTGATCTAAGTCACATGGTGTTAACCAAAGAACCAAGTCTGTTTTGAATTCTTCGGACAAATATTGTTTGGACTTGCTGTTACTTAAAGACAGAAATGACATAACGGATCTCTTTGAACAAATATAAAATAGGCTTCTGTAAATGTGACTCGCAGCTGAGAATTCAAGATACCTCTCTTCTGACTGGTCGTGCATTATTGTGTCGGTAGCAATGTGTTTGATTTATATTTCTTTGTGTATTTAAATCAAAATCACATCACAAAAATATAAATCAGTGCTGTCAAATTAGCTTATTTTACTCATTTTATACATATATCTGAAGTGTGCAACTTTGAGAACAGATTCAGCTTTTGTGTCTGAAGTCCTGATAGCATATGATAACTGTCTAGCATATGCTGGTCTTACGGAAACAGACTCATGCTGCATTATATGTACGTTTCCAACTAGTATCCTCTTCATTGTATAATTTTGGAATATAACATGGTTTTCAACTAATGTTTCAACTTGAAATTCCTTAAAATTCGGTGCATGTATAGCCTTAAACATTTTAAGACACTAAGCACAGTTTTAAAGGGAATAGGTTATATTTGCAAGTCCTGTTTAGAAATCGGAGAATTATTTTTATATGTCAATCAAAGATCATCGAAAATGGGCATATTACAGTCATGTTACCAACAGTGCTCCTAATTATATGCATTTATAAAAAGCATTTTGGTGGAACTTTTTAGACGTGAAACATCACTGCTCATTTTCTTTCTTGAATTCACTGATTTTGTTTTCATGCTTTCATTTCTGTACAGAATCTTGGAGCCTATAAAGAAATGTCTGTGACTGAGTTTTCCCTCTTTTAGAATTTCTTGAGCTTCTCTTCTGTTTTGCTGTGCTTTTAATTTGAATAAGCAGTAATTAAAATTCTCTATTTATTTATTTATTTTTACGTTTTGACAGTAAGAAAGAGTGAATGACTGTTTTCAACTGTTTACATGGCTTATTAAATTCTTAGGACTTCATTTGAAACTGTCATTATAATCCAGATGAAGACATACCTTTCATGGCATTTCAGTCCACAGCAGGTGAAGACAGAGTTCTGGCAATGAATGTGCAGATCTGCATATTGGGTGTCAAATTGTAAATCCCCAGAGGGATTTATAATTATGTGTCACATTGTATCTACAGCATCTCCAATTGTGTGATGTCAGTTATATCTTGTTTTCTTTCCTTTGTTATTAACTAGCAAAAAAAAAAAAAACACCCCAACACCCTATTTTCATCATTTTATGCTAACGTATATTAATCTTGAGGGTTTCCAGTGTGTGAGATTAGTTAGTGTTGTCAGCTGTCTTTCTGTTTAAAAAAATAATAATAAAAAGCTGGTCTTTCAGCACATGCATTCCATTACTATTCTGATTTTGGGGAGAGGCAAAATGCCACCAGCTATTTGTAGTTGTATTTACCTGTAGAGCACAGGTAATTTAATTCCATATTAGTTTGATGAAAACATGCTATAGTATATTTTCAAAGTATGGATCCGTCACAACATTAAAATAGTCATTTTACATACCTGAAGCTTTGCAGCTGTGGTTTTCTATTTTGTTTGCTCTCTCTATTTGTATTGATTACTCTGTGAAATGTGGTTTTGTCGGTTTTGGGACTTGAATGGATATTCTTTGGTTAATTCAAACTACTTTCTGTATGTGGAATCAGCTTTTTGCATGTGAACTTAATTGTTGGAAAGTATTTGGAAAAAAAAAAAAAAAGGAAAAATTACCTTTTAAAACTGGTTGTTGTCACTTTCCTTTGGAGTTAATTGGATCTTAAACAAATGTAGTAGACTTCACTGTTTAGGAGATACTAACGCTTGGACAACTGTTTGAACTCCTGTCAGCATTAAAAGAAAACCAGCAATTTTGGCAAGCTAACTAATCCTCTCCCTAACACACTTCTTGGCTCTGTTTCCAAATTTCCTAAGTATCCCCAATTCCCTCTCCATTTCTCATAGTCTTTGTTGATGTCATGAATCTTCTACTTAGAGAAATTTAAATTAACCAATGTGATAATGTTCTGACAAATATGATGTGTATACTGGCAAATAAAGACACACTCAGGTGATTGACTGATTGACTTTGGTGATTCTGACTGACTTTGGAAATTGGCTTTATGCAATTTTCTTCGGGGGTCATCTTTGATTGTGTCTACTTCTTTGTCCCAAGTGGCTTTCTCAGAAGGGATCTCATCTAATGCACCTAACTTCCACTTTCTAAGGAACAGATAGGGTGAAATAATTGAAGCTTGATTTAAACATGAAATAAGTAACAATTGTAATTTCACTGTGACCCAGCTTAGATCTTCTATACTGTCCTCTAATGATTTTTGTAGTACGTGCTAGAAAAAAGCTTTCTGGGCCCTCCTGGCAGGTCTGCTTTAGGATGTGCCTGAATATGTGGACATTTTAATAGGTATTAGCACACACACATGCACACACACACGCACACACACACAAAATTGTTACAATTTTTTTTTTCCTATCCTAAAGCTAGGAAGGCATAAGAGAAAGATTTTCTAGCATTTATTCCCATTTCTGCAGATGAAACAAGCATAGCCCAGTGACTTTTACCAGATGAAACTGGAGAGAGTGGTATGTTTATTGCTGTGTGATCTTGATCATCTGGACCCATCTGTGCAAATCCTAGACTTCTATAAACAAGATAATGTGGTTCTTGCTGGTGTTAAGGCTGGCATTTTCAAAAGACTATACACTTAAAAATAACTTGTCATTCCATATGGAGATTGGTACCTACTTGGTACTTAAGAAACTTCAAGAGGAGCATTTACTTTCTGTCCATATTATTTAGAAGATGTCATAAGACACATGGTACCCTTGTATATAAGGAGAAAAATAATAACCAACACAAATGTTTTTCTCCAGATGATGCAAGATCTATTAAAACTTGAACATATGAACTATCAGGTATTTGTTTAAAAACTGAGGATTTATGAAGCTGTGAAAACATGACAGCATAAATGAAATGTGTAGTCAGTATGGTAGTACTTGTTCACCATTTATGAACAGCCATTTTCTACTCAAAGACTGCAGTGAAGAAGAGTTAATACATCCTGTGAATCAAATTCAGCTTTCAATTGCATGTGTGGCACCTTTCAGTCTGCTATGTTTCATGTATGTAGCTGAGCAGAAATAGGTGTAATGCTCCTAGTTGCTAAATAGCTTTCTGTGCAACAGTAATTGCTTCAGACAGAGCCAAATTGCATCATTTCTATGCAGATGCACCTTTACCTGTCAAAGGTTTTCTCTGAATAGTTGTCTTCATGTGGCAAATTCCACATTAGCTAGTATTTTAAAATCACTTAGAAGTCGCTAGTTACTTGTTTCCCAAAACTCCTGTGGGTAAGGGCTATTTATCATTTTTCCTGCTGAAATTTGTAATCGTCATTTTCTCTCTGGTGTTTTTGTTTTTACAGTCCAGCAGTGTGATTCTAATTTACTGCTTGCATCATATTAGACATTTCATTTTACTTGTAAATTACTCTACTATCCCAAAATTAATGAGAGCAGTACTAAGGCAGTTTGTTACCTGCTAATCGTTTTGAGTAGCTAGCTACATTTCAGCACTGGGGTCTAAAAATTTTGGCTGTTGCATCAGCTTTAAGATCAAATCAAATAAATTATCATCAAGGAAGATCATGCAACAAATCGTCTGGGGGTTAGATAAATGATTTAGTATTAAATTCAAAACCTAATAGGTTTGTGTGTTCTGAGTGTAGTTTACAGTGGTTTGTTTTTCACTTAATTAGAAGCCTTACATTTCATCTTATTAATAATGAAAATCCTCTTGTCAATTTGTGTAAAATCATGTTGAACTAACATGTATATTTTAGAGGCAGAATAAAATCTCCCCCCATAGCCTTTTGTATTATTTCATTTCATTATTTAAAAAAAAAAAAAAAAAAAAAAAAGACATTCTGCCTTTAATTCTGTTAGTGCAAAATAAGAAAACTCCATTTTTCATTGCTGTTAACGAAAGTCCTTATTTCAAGAACCACAATGAAGATAGTTCAACCCCTGTAGCCCACTGTTTACAAGTTAGCTGTACACAGGGATTAAGAATACCAGGCCAATTCATCTCAACAAATAAGTGTATAAAGGATTATAATCAGTCAGTAATCAAAGCTTAAATTATTATGTCTTGTCGTATCAGTTCTGTTGTAGTGGCATAACAGTTAGGAAAGGGCAAATCTGCTGAAGGAGACAAGATTTGTATCCCATTTGTTATTTGGAGTCAAGAACACATTTCCCTGACATCACGGCATTCTCAGCTGCTGATGCTGGGACCTAAAGTGCCAGTAGACTAAAATGTCAGTCACACAAGCCTTTGCTAATTAATGCCTTTACGAGAAAATGTCTGGCATTCTTAGGAAATCAGGGAGATATAGAACACAGTCATCATTCATATTTATTAAAAGAAAAAAAAAAAAAGGAGGGTGAGGTATTTAATCAGCCATTTAACAAAAGCTCCAAAGCAATCAGCAAAGCTAAAGGTCATGAAAAAGTAGGTCTAAGCCCCAGTGTCAATATCATCACACAAGCTTGTTGCAATTTTCTGAGACAATATCAAACACTTAGGAGCACACAAGCCAGGCCAACAGGCTAAGTAACAGCATTAACCGTTCAGTCTTTCCCATCTGTTATGCACGCAGCCAAGCTGACAGTTGGGATGGAGTACTTCGATGTATTGCTGTCATCGACAGAGCTGGTGCGTATTGTAAAGCAGTAGCATTGCTTGGGAAATAGCAATCGGGCTGTTTCCAGCACCTTGAGCACACCCTTTAATAAATCAGGATGAGAGCAAGACCGACAACTTGCATTTGTTGGTCTAAGTGTGGGAGGTGGGAACCCTCTTTAATTCCCCATTTGATGCAAACTAGCTTTGTAGCCCTCGCTGACTTACTTGGCCCTTGTTTTCAGTTGCCCAAATTCCTGTTTTCTTCCACTTTGTTGATACATCCAGGCACTAAATGATCGATTGTAGTATACAATTAATCTGTAAAGCTGATATGCTTCTTCTGTTGAAAGGCAGCATAAAATACTATCTCTAAAGCATTGCCCTGTATAAATTGTAGCATGGGGTACTGTATGAAGAAGAATGCTTTCCTGCTTATGCTTGAATGTGCTGAATGCCTCGGCTATGCAGTCTTTTAGTCAGTCTTAATATCAACGAGCCACTGAAGGATCAGAATAAGCCAAACAAGATTTTAAAACATCAGTGAGGTCACTTCACCAGTGTGATTGGATCTGAGCTTAAATGAATGCTGGTGCCAGCATAAGGAGTGGAAGTGTTCATCTGGAGCAGAGCTGTCCTTCCCCTGGTAATCCACACTTAGCTAAATGTCATCCTGTAACTACCACCTTAAAAAAAGAAAAGAAAACACAACTGTTATGAATATGGAGGCATTTTGCCTTGATGACTGTTGCCTGCAAGGAATCTGTCCAACCATTTTTCATCTTTGAAAAAAATCTTGTAAAACTTGAGAAGTGAGATCCACAGGGGCAGGCAGAACTGATTCTAAATATCATTGAAATATCGCAGAGAGTCCTTTTGATGGGATAGAAATTGCTACTTGGTTCTGGTATAATTCAGCCTTTTAAAAAATCAATTAGAAAATATATGGGAATGTCATCATTTAAAATGATGTACATTTAACGCATTTGATGTTGCTTTGGGGGTTCTCCTAAACCTCCAACAACAATCCCTCTTTTTTCTTTTTTTTTTTTTTTCCCCTCCTTCCACCCCCAGACCACTTGTCCCAACCTGCTTCAAGGACACAGATGGCCCTGAGGCATTTTCTGACAGGAGTCACTGTAGAAGGATTGCTGATAGCTGCGCCTGGACCCTGGGAGAGCCTTTTGAGAGAAAGTGTGGTGGTGCATGACCAATGTGGGAGCACCAGAAAGCTGAGAGATGGTAATAGCTGCAGGTAATTCAAAAGCAGGCATTTCCAGACCATTTGTAAAGGATGCTGGTACCCATACCACTGCACATCTCACACATAGATTTTCTCCTCCACTTCCTTTTTGGCTTTTCTTTGGAATGGATTGATTCACCCTTAGGCAAGCGTTTCGCTGCCAGAAATATTTCAAGGAATTGTTCTTCTCTTAGTGCATATCCCACCCTCTCTAATTATGCATAACATTTCACTGAAAGCTTTCTCAAAAGGTAGACATGCCGCATAACATCTATTATATCAAGAGCCTGAAGACCAGAATACACTTAAACTGTTCATTGTCATTCTGGGCAATCCAAATTAAACATCCCCAGTAAATGCTGCACTCCAAAGAACAAAAGCTGTAAAACGATTCAATGAATTTTCATCACATATAACCACTGTGAGATAAACGCTTCTGCCTTGCACAAAAAATAGCGGTGTCGTTTATGTGAGGAGTGGATTTTAAAAATGTTAACACATCATGATGGTACGTACGTACTTAGACCTTCAGCCTTCACTGGTATCCACTAGATTTCTCATCAAGTTACTGCACATAATCTTACCTGGTTTCTTCTCTGGGTACGACGTGGAGTTATGCTTTTCACTTCAATGTTTCTAAGTGTATACTGAAACAAGTATTTTACAAATACTTGTTGTAGCCTATGGTCCTCTGTCAAGTGAGCGGATGGATAGTCTTAACCTGACCCTGAAATGAGCCAGTTTGAATATGAAGCCTGGAAAGTGCTTGGCAGTTCAGGCCACTGCTGCACGGCAATTTCAAGGAGGAGACGGATACATTGATCCTAATTTAATAGGAGAATTTTCAGGTAGGTAGTAATGGAGCTGGAATGTGGCCAAAGCCTTGAGTTTAATGAGCCTACCCTTATAAAACGTTTTATAGGATCTTTAATGAAAGCAAACAAATGAGATCACAGCTTCATCTCTTCTGCAGCAGAGAGCAGAAAATGGTCCTTTCCCTCTAGAAATACCATGCTGCCTATCATCAGGCTGGGGCACTGAAAAAATCTGCCACCAGAGGCATTTTCTGAACAAACAAGATTTCAATGTGTTGACCTGTAGGAGGAGTAGCTGGCTCATGTATTTTAGTCATAATGCTCCTG